TACATTCAATAGCCTGAATGAACCTCAAAAACAGGCTGACTGAAAGAAGCTGTATTAGTTACTTTTTGTTGCTGTAACAAAACACTACAATCCAAAACGATTTAGGGAAGATAGCTTATTTTGGCTTGTGGTTCCAGGGCTAGAGTAGTAATGGAAGCAGACACCTGAGCTGGAAGCTGGCAGATCACATTTCCATTCACACACAGAAAGAAAAGTGAACCAACTGGGAGTGGGATGAAACTAACTCGCAAAGCCCACCCCTAGCTAAATGCTTCCTCCAGCAAGCCTCTACTTCTGAAGGTCTCATAACCTCCACAACAGTGCCACCAACTAGGGACCAAGTGTTCAAATATGAGTCTACAGATGACTTTTCTCATACAAACCACCATAGAAATCAAACACAAACCACATTCATTGTATGATCCCACTTATAAGAAATGGCCAAAAAAATTAAGCCCATAAATAAGGAAATTATGAGTTGGGGCTGGCATGGTAACATATAAGTGTGGTCAAATAATTTGGCATGTAAATTATACTCCAATAAAGTTGCTTTTTTTAAAACTGGTTAAATTTGCCTTATTAGTGTGGCTACAGTCTATACATAGTTGAAGAAGAAAATGGCAATTAAACTGGCAAGATGGCTCAGTGGGTACAGGTGTTTGCCACCAAGCCTGAAAACCTAAGTTCAATCCCCAGAGCTCATATGCTCATATGGTAGAAGGAGAGAACCACCTACCGCAAGTTGTCCTCTGACCTAATGAGAGCCATGGTGCACACACGTGCACACACACACACACACACACACACACACACACACACACACACACACACACACAGAGAGACAGAGACAGAGACAGAGAGTCAGAGAGAGAGGAAGGGAGGGAGGGAAGGAGGGAGAGAGTTTAAAAAGAGAAAGCAGGTGCTACCCTCATCCCATTCAAAGTGTCCTCTTACCACACTCATTTCTCTACTCTTGTTGTCACTCACCATCCTCAAATACTCCCCAACTACTCTCTCCACCTTTCTAATCCCTCATCTCTCTTATCTTCTTTTCTAATGAAAAGTCCCATTTCCTAGTTCCCTAAGAAAATCGATGCTATCAGAAGAAATGCTCTGCATCCTACCCATCGTTCCCACCTGCCGACTATGAACTCTACTATATATACTCAGATCACACAAAACTTCCAACCATTCCTCAGGAACACTGGGCAGGAAGGCATATGTGGCCTGGGGCAGTAGCACACACAAACGCAGACTACTCTGGCCACAGAAAGCTCTACCAAATGGGCTGAACACAATGACCGGGACGACTAAGCTCTCATTATGTGAGTTTCTTCTTTCATGTAACCCAATGGCAATGCTACAGCAATTCCCCTATGTCACCTGCTTTTAGCTGTACAAGAGTCTTCTCATCAACACACGCCTCATTTGTTTCCCTCATCCATTTTTTTCCTTAAAGGACATTTTGGGGTGAAAAAATATTTTAGAATTTCTTGGAACTAATTAATAATTACAGTAAAGTAGCAGAACCCAAAAATTAACATATAAGACTACAAGTCAGCAATAGACAAGCAGAATTTAAAATTTTTAAAAACAAATTAGTACCATTTACATTAGTACTCCCCCCCAAAAGACATACTCAGGTATAAATCTAAAACATGTGTACAAGATCAATATGAAGAAAATTACAATGAAATAAACTCAAGAATGGCTAACAGAGGCATTCCATGTTCATGAACATGGTGGCTCAACATTATTGTGTTATTCGTTTGAAGGTGAAAGAGAGAGACAGACAATACACATAAAGGAGGAACTAATCAGAAGGCAGAGGCAGGCAGATCTCTCTGAGTTCGAGGCCAACTGGTTCACAGAGCGAGTTCCAGGACAGCCAAGGTGGTTACACAGAGAAACCCTGTCTTGAGGGGGGGGGGAGGGAGGGAGGGAGGGAGAGAGGGAGGAAGAGGAGGAGGAGGAGGAGGAAGAAGAAGAAGAAGACAACAACTGATAAGATGAACTATTAAAATCAAAATATTTGCTTTTTGCAAAAGACATCAAGAACAATAAGACGAACAGGACACACTTGTAAAAGATGTATCTGACGGCCGGGCGGTGGTGGCGCACGCCTTTAATCCCAGCACTCGGGAGGCAGAGGCAGGCGGATCTCTGTGAGTTCGAGGCTAGACTGGACGGACAGCCTCGAAAACAATACAGAGAAACCCTGTCTCGAAAAACCAAAAAAAAAAAAAAAAAAAAAAAAAAAGATGTATCTGACAATTGCAATCTAAAACACGTCCAAGAATTTATAAAATTCCACAATAAAGATATAAACAACTTAATTAAAAATGAGTCAAAGGAGTCAGGCAGTGGTGGAACACATCTTTAATCCCAACACTTGGGAGGCAGAGGCAGGCAGATATGGGTGAGTTCCAGGCCAGCTTGGTCTACAGAGCAAGTACCAAAACAGCCAGGACAACACAGAGAAACCTTGTCTAGAAAAATAAAAAACAAGCAAGCAAGTCCAAGGGGCTGGAGGGTTCCCTCAATGGCAGAGCACTTTCGTAGCAACTATAAGGCCCTGGGGGTTCAAGCCCCTAAGCAGTAAAAACAGGAAGGAGGGAGGGAGAGGGAGGGAGGGAGGGAGGGAGGGAGGGAGGGAGGGAGGGAGGGAGGGAGGGAGGGAGGGAGCAAACAGGCAGGCAGGCCCCAGAGACTTTAAAAACACCTCATCCAGCCAGGCGGTGGTGGCGCATGCCTTTAGTCCCAGCACTTGGGAGGCAGAGGCAGGCGGATCTCTGTGAGTTCGAGGCCAGCCTGGTCTGCAAGGGCTAGTTCCAGGACAGGCTCCAAAGCCACAGAGAAACCCTGTCTCGAATAACAAAAAAACAAAAAACAAAAAACAAAAAAACAAAAAAAACCCCACCTCATCCAAACAGACTTACAGATGACAAATAGGCATAATGTTCCACACCATATATCACTAGAGAAAAGTAAACTAAAGCCATATCAAGATACACTCACACCATACAATTCAGCAATCATGGGCTGGAGAAATGGCTCAGCCGTTAAAGGCTAGGCTCACAACCAAAAATAAAAAACAATTCAGCAATCACAGTGTTTAATACTGAGTCAAAGAGGATGGTAACTCACCTGCCCAAAACATGACAAATGGATATTTATGCAAATTGAGCAGCCCTAATCTGATCATTTGAAATCCAGAACAGTCTAAAGTAATGCTTCTTCCAGAGAACTCAGGTTTGATTCCCAGCACCCACATCAGCACACCTAGCTGCCTGGATCGCTAGCTCCAGATGATCCAAGGCCTCCGGCCTGTGGCCCCGCCCCCCACCCCTCACAAGTGGCATACACTCACACAGACACACATACCTGATTGGATTTTTAAAAAATTTACCAATAAGGTATGTGTATAAATTATATATGAAACATAAAGGAATTTTTTTCCCTAAGACATCTTATATATATTTATACACATTCCAAAATCTGACAGCTAAAACACTTCTAGTCCCATGTATTTCAAATAAGAGAAACTCAGTCTGTAATAGCTTTAACTTACAACTGCTATTATAGACTACATGGTGTATTCCCTCAAAATTTATGTTGAAACAGATTTGGTGACTCAGTTGGGAAGTGGAGGCAGGGGGATTGCAAGTTTGAAGCCAGCCAAAGCTACACAGTAAGACCCATCTCAAAAGTTCTGTGTCCTAATTTGATCCCCAGTGTGATGGTGCATGGAGCGGAGCCTCTGGGAGGTTGCTCAGCCATGTGTGCAGCGTTCTCCAGAGTGGGGTCAGTTCCTGCAGAAATGCCAGACAACTGGTTCATCCTCTTTCTCACGACAGATAAAAGTCAGCCATCTGAAACCTTGAGGAGGCCTTCCATCACATTCTCACTGCTAGCACACTGGCCTTAATCCTCCAGCCTCCAAGACTAATAATGTGTCTGCTGGTTAGTCACTCAGCCTAGGGTAAATGGTTACAGCTGTATGAACTGAAACTGGTTTGTTTTGTTTTGATGCTTCTATGCTCTTGGATTGACCAGCTACTGAGTACTCTGGTTCTCCAGTATGCTAACCATCCCCTTTCATAATTACATAACATTCAATTGGATGTCTTCCTCTAAAGAACCTTCATATATAATCTAGTTTCTCTTCTTTTATTTTTGTTTTCCAGACAAGGAGTCTCTGTGTAATAGCCCTGGCTGTCCTGGAACTCGCTCTGTAAACCAGCTGGCCTCAAACTCACAGAGATCTGCCTGCCTCTGCCTCCTGACTAGGTCCTCCTTTATGTGTATTGTCTGTCGCCCTCTTTCACCTTCAAACAGTAAGTTTACAAACACTCACACTCCAATTTACACTTCCCATCATTCTTCTCACCACTAATTCCTAGGCCTTTCTGAAGAGCCAGCTAAATCCTGACTATTTTAAAATTCTCACTAGATCTGCCAGGCATAGTGAGGCCTATCTGCAGTCTAGCATGTGGGAGGCTGGGGCAAAAGGATCACCACAAGTTCAAGACTAGCCTGGTCCATCTAATGAGGCCCAAACCAGCCCTGAGCTACAGAGTGAGACCCTGTTTTAACCAACCACAATAAAAAACAAACAAGTCATACCCAGTACTTTCTGAGCTTTGATTCTGAAAATGATGGACACCAAGTTCCTCAAAGTACAGTTAATCTTGTTAGCAATGTCAGAATGCTCGGTTAAGACAGTTAAAGTCTGTTACCAAACTCATCAAAACCTTGAGTTTCCACAGTAGACCTACCTGGACTACTCAGGACCTTTCATTAGGATAATAATAGAATGTACTTTGCATTCCGAGGTCTCAAGAAGAGAGTACTCTTAATTTCTCAGTACACATGGATAAAACTGTACCAAATGAAAAGGAAATAAGAATTATTCGAGATAGCCAAGGACTGGATTCACTCAACTCCAGCATTCATTTTTACCACTGATTAGGACATCTGTCACAATTGAAGTCACACACCTAGATGCATCCAGGAATGGTCTGTGGGCCAGGCTGATCCATTCTTCTCTGTTGGATGAATAGTTTGGCTCTCGAGGTGTTTCTCTCATGGTATCCAAATCCACTAAGTAATGGCATTTACTGATGTCAATCTGAAATGGAAAAGATCAGCTCTTCATCAGTAATTATGAAGATCCCTGCAGAATGGGAACCCAATTACAACCCTAAGAATTCCCACAAGGCTGTAAAGGAACAAACACCCCAGCTATCTATGCATCTTCTGCTCTGCTAGTAGCACGGGCTACCACTGAGGCTCCTGGGGACAGAGCATGTGCTTGCTCAGGCAAGCACGTAGTTGGTTGTGGGTGGTCTGCAGCTAGTCTATGTTAAGTCCCTCCAGTCCCACAGACACTTACAAAGTCAGCTTGAGTGTGCAGCCTAACTCTAGGAAAGCAGTCTTGTGCTCACTCCTGCTCCCTTCATCTATCTTATTCTAGAGGTCCTAAGGGCATCGTTAGCAGGGATGCCAGTCTGACTCTCCTGATGGAGCCAGACGCAGCACTGCACCTCGCAATAATACAGCAAGATTACGAACATTTCCTGCAGGAAGTCAACAGAATGACAGAGGCACAGAACTGTCTCCACAGCAGGCTCAGCACAACTGAGGAACCACAGCAGCACAAGTGAAGAGCAGGAAAAGTGCAGAGTATTAGCAGTAGTCGTCCAGTTGCCATAACATGGACACTCAGAACCTACAGGTGCACATCAATGCGTTCCATTCTCAAACTGAAAAGGCCTGTTCGTCAAAATCACCATCATGAGAGTACAGACTCAAAGACCGATGACACACATCAAGCAATCAAGGTTCGTAGTACATATGATGAGCTCCTGTCAATCAGCAAAATAAGAGAAAGCCCCCAATGAGAAGTGGGCAAGCTACTTTAACAGGTAGTTCAAAAATCTCTAAATGAATCAAATGAAAAGTGTTCAATCTCACTAGTAAGCAGAAAATGTAAAGCTAAATTACAATGAAAAAAATTACCATAGAAGCCAGGCATTGGTGGCACACGCCTTTAATCCCAGCACTCAGGAGGCAGGTAGATCTCTGTGTTTGAGGACAGCCTGGACTACGGTTCAAGAATGCTTAAAGCTGGGCTAGCAAGAGGGCTCCATGGGCAAGGACGCTTACCACCAAGCATGAGGACCTGAGTCCAATCCCCAGGAGCCAAATGGTAGGAGACAACTGACTCTCACAAGCTGTCTCTGATCTCCACATGTAAGCCATGGCACATGTGTACCCACATACAATACACAAGCAACATATGTGCATACATGTGAAGACAAAAAAAAAAGCAACAAAACTATTATCATGAGCCAGCAGACTTCCTGAGAGACAAGGCAGACCTGCAAGGGAAGTGCCACATGCTGTTGGGTCTGCCACATTTGACTTTTTGTCTTTTGAAACAGCTGCACGAGTGCACTCTCTTAAGACAATTAGCTGTCCACTGACATTTTATACATTTAGGCTATAGGTTATACCTCAAGAAGACTTATTTTCAGCACACATAAGAGCAACCTGATTTTCAATGACTTTCAGCAAGCTGTTCTTTCCAACTTTTACCTCACAGCAAAGTTCTCATTCTCTCTGTTTCACTTATACGTAAAAAATACTTCAGTCTCATATCTGTCTCTATATATGGGCTATTCCTCCAGGGGAGAGAAAGCACTCTGAGAGCTGACGTCAGACCCAATTCCACTCCACGTAACTCTCTAAAAATGGTCCTTTGCATAAACCCTGCAGGAAGTAGCATTTTTTTTTGTCTGCACACCCACTCTGCAGCTCCCGAGATTGTAAGAACATGATGCAATTTTTAAAAAGACTTTCCAATGTCGTGCCTCTGAGGAGAACCAGCAAGGAGCAGAGGGCCTGATGGCCTCATGCTTGGACTCCTTCCCACAGGGGGTCCAGGCCTGCATGGATACAATCCCTCACCTCAGCCTGACCTTTCCCAGTTAGGCACACCACAAGTCTAATTATGGAGGTTTGGCTGGGTACAGTCTACTGTAGCTGGAGATAGTAATTAATTTAGCAGTCAGCCTAGGCTCTAGTCATCAAATTGTCCCTAAGGAAATTCTAAGTAAATTAAATTCTAAGTAAAGGTCTTAGAAAGACATCAAGGCAAAGCTGTATTGAGATAGCAATGCATCTTGTGAAACTTTTAACCTCTGCCTTTGGCAAACAGCTGCTGAAAACTAAAAGCCATGACAAAGGCCTCCAGATGCAGGGTTTAGGTACAATCAAGGCAGGTTCTTCATTCAAGGGAAGACAAACTTACAGAAAAGGAACTTTAAGGCATCAGGCCTTAAAGTGTGAGCAATATTCATTTGCAGTTTTTATATAATTTCTTTGACTGTAAAATGGACATACTACCACTAACCTCTAAGAGTTGCAATAGAGATCAATGAAGTGTTTGAACAGAATTCACTGAGTCTGAGGAACTGCACACCAATAGCTCAAATAACAAAGGATCAACTCTGCAAAGTGATAACTGTTGGGGACCAAAAAAATGGCTTTGCTTCATCTTGGCTTAAGGTTTGGAGAGTTCAAAACTATCCTTACTCTTCCAAGGTTAAAGTCATAAGACCTAAAGGTCTAAGGTGTGACTACTGTAGGATGTTTGGTCTAAGGTATGGATGTCTCATCTAAATAACAAGAGACTTGGTCTAGGGTGTGGTTACTTTTAACCCTCAAGGTCAGGTAGCTAGAGACTTAGTATAAGGCACAGTTACTAAATGTTTGGAAAATCTGTTTCTTCCTTGCATCTTAGTAAAGAAGTCTTCCCTTTTGGTTGGGGTATATAAGAATGTTGAAGAATAAATTTGGGACATTCACAGTATTCACTATATTCTATGTCTCTATCTTTTCCTTAATATCTTTACCTGCTGTTTCTCAATCCACACTCCCCCTTCTCAGGTACAAACCAGACAAGTCAGCTGGATCTGACTGAAGCCCCACCAAGGTTGGGCTACAACAGAGAACATAATGGGAGAACCTGAAGCAACAGCATCCACCAGCACCAACCATCCTACATTCAACTTAGACTGGTGTCTATTTCCAAGTCAGGCAAGGGCCGCACCACTGGCTATCCCTGATGAATCAGGAGCATCCACTAAATGGTATCAAAATCAACCATCAGGGAGTTGGAGAGATGGGCTCAGTAGTTAACAGCACTTGCTCTTGCAGAAGACCCATGTTGGGTTCCCAGCACCCACATTAGCTGCAAATCAACATGCACACACAAATCAACAAATTATACAAACACACATAACACACTCTACACATGTGAAGGAGGGAAGAGGGGAATGGAGAGAAGGTCTGATTTCAATAATCATTTAAAACTCAGACAGTCCTCAAATTATATGCTCTCATAGTACAGAGAACTTCTCAAAACATTTCATAATTATTATCTATAAATTAATAGTGGAATTTCCATAACTTTACACAAAGCTGAGGCCATGTCTATCTGATTCACTCATATTTCCAAGGCATTACAAAGCACAAAACAGGTGTTTAATAAAAGTATATTTAACAAATGAACAGAAAAAAAAAAGCATTTTAAGAGAGGAGGGGAGGCCGGGCGTTGGTGGCGCACGCCTTTAATCCCAGCACTCGGGAGGCAGAGGCAGGCGGATCTCTGAGTTCAAGGCCAGCCTGGTCTACAGAGTGAGTTCCAGGACAGCCTCCAAAACAATACAGAGAAACCCTGTCTCGAAAAACAAAAACAAAAACAAAAAAAACAAAAAAAAAAAAAAAGAAAGGAGGGGAAAGGGGAAGGAGAGAGAAACAAGAGGAGGACCAGATACGGTAGCTTATGCCTGTAATTCCAGTTCAGGGCTGAGGCAGGAAGATCAAGGGTTTGAGGCCACATTGGGCTATAGCCTGGGGTCCTGTTTCAAGAGCTTCCATCCTGCACCCCTGAAATGGTGAAGGAGGAAAGAAGAAAGGGATAAAGACCTGAGAAAGAAAGAGACCATTTGAGAGGGAGGGGTGTACATACTAGGAAACAAATTCCAAGCCTACAGAAAGGCTGTGAGATGCCTAGAACTGAGCAAAGGCGACTCCTGAAATAGTCAACAGTACACCAAGTGTATCTGTCTCCACTAGAGTGTTGTGTGAGGACTAGGAAAGATGTTCCCTGATGTCCATCCAGCAGCCCAAGCCAAACCTCTCAAGTCCTAAAACAGGAAAGATGTGAATTTGCATTTAGTATTGGCTGAAAATGACAGTGACACACGTACTGTAAAAATAGAGATCTCTGTATAGGGCCAGTGAAAAGTTCAGAGAGGATCACAGAGAAAGCGTCTCCACAAATACTGCAGACCTCATTTCTCTAATGTCATTCAAGATGCTCTAGTCACCACCTGCAGAAAAAGTCTATAGGAGCACAAGAGAATAATGTGATGATCTCTGGAAATCCAAAGTCCTGTAATATCTAAGACAAGGATTAAAGCTGAAAAAAATTAAAACTAGACATTTTCCCCATAGCTAAAACTTGTACTGAGGCTGCCCAATATAACAATGGCTGACATGATCTATTAATTTAATGCTTAATCTCTGAATAGTGTCTCCTCATAGCCTCTGTAAGCAGCTACAGTGAGACCCAGGCTTTCTGACTGTTCAGTCCTCCAAGCTCTGCAAAGGCAAGGATTAGGTTTTTCTTGTCATCACTATCCCCTGGTGCCTGGTACCACACCTGGAAGATCCCAAGCATCTATGAGGCTGTGTGGCAGGAAACATGGTCATCATGGTCACCACCACCCCAGCCAGCTCAGTCGTCACAAACATCAAGACATTCACAACAAAAGTTATCTCCTGGTGCTCAAGAGGCCTTCCGTAAGCTTCTAACCCTGGGAGGCAATCTACACAATATCCTACAATAAAGATCAAATCATACTATCATAAACCTAACAAATACCTCTAGTTAGTGAAATGAGTTCATGGTCCAGTAAACCTGACCATGTTTTTAGTGAGGCTGGATTCAACAAGATTCAACTTTTTAGAAAATTTTATGAAACGGAAAATTAAACTAAGTCATTACTTTCATCAATTTAAATACTTATAAATATTACCACTGGCATCCTAATACACAAT